GCCCAGCACAGCAGCCCCTATCCCTGTATGTTGGTGCTGTGCCCTGTGTCCCTTCTCTAGGAGACCAGTGGCAGCTGAGCAGCAGCAGATGCCACCAGATGGTCACCCCACCCAGAGACCCTGCTATACCGATGACCGGGGCAAGGCACGGAAGCTCCCTCATTTGCTAATTGAACCCCCCAGCCCCCGTGCTGGTCCCATGTGGGGACAGGAGTGAGCTGGGGACAGCAAAGCTCCTTGTGTGCCATTGCTGTGATGAGCTGCACGATCTCAGCGCTCGGCTGGTGATGGCCCTCCCAATCCTGCCATCAACAGGAGCTGGACCACGGTGCTCTGTGACAAATCAGGAGCTGCTGTGATACCTCTGACTTTAAAGCAGGAGAAATAACCCCCATAACGCGATTCACCGTGTCTTTATATCCCAAAACGTGCTGCCTGGGCTGGGGCGGGGGCTCCCGTTTAATATTCTGATGGAAAACAGCGCCCTGATCCAATTACCACAGGGATTTGGGAGCACTCAGCAGCTCAGATGCTGCAGCCCCGCTGCGGGGCAGGAACAAACCCACGGCTCAGACTGGGGCTGTTCTGACGGCGATTCACCCCAATAGCAGCTGGGCTGTATTGGGAGGCACTGGAGGGAACTGGGAGCTTCGGGCAGGCAGAGCATCGCATCGAGCTGAGCTCTATGCCAACATCCCTGCAGCTTCCCCCGAGGGCAGGGATCCCTCACACAGCCCTGCCCTAATCCCACATCACCAATTCCCACCGGCAGCCACGAGAAAGCGCCCTCAGATGGCAGCATCAGCGTGGCTGGAGGGTGAGACGCTGCTTTCATTGCCCGTCGCTGTGCACTGAGCAAGCAGGAGCAGCACAAACCCTCCACACACACACACACACACACACACACACACTCGTTCTCCCCCTTTATAATTGCCGTTTGGTCATTTTTACCACCGTATTTTAGATCAAGCACAACAAAGCCCATTCTGGTGCCAGGAGTGATTTATCCCTTTCAGCACTCCATGACCTGTGGACATATTTCCCAGCCTGCAAATAGTCAGGAGGCATTCCTTAACCAACAAAACAAAGCAAAACAAAACCCTGTTGTATTATTTTCCCCACATCAAATGTTATTTTTTCAACCAACAGAATGTTGTTTCCAGGCTGAGCTCCCAGGGGGTGGGATCCCATCCCCATCTGCACGTCCCATTGCTAACAGCTGGGGTTTGCCCTCAGGTTTTCCTGCATCCCTCAAGCGCCCGGCTGCCAGGAGGACAAAACGCTCCCAAACCCATCCAGAAACCAAAGCTCTGCCCTTCAAAGCCTGAACGCAGGGGATCACAGAGAGGCAGCACAGGGAAGTTGCTAGGAGATGGGGGTTTGGGATGCTGGATGCCATTAGCACGCAGCCCTGAGCACCTTGAGTGGGACCCACATCGGTTCTACCCCCCCCAGGGGCTCCAGCTTCCCACAGAAAGGGCGGATTATGGAGAATCAGCTCCGATCGATCTCTGCAGCGGCGGAGAAAAAAATAAAGGAACAAAAAGAGATTTCTCACTCGTGGAGGATTTGAGGGGGGTTTTGTTGTGTTTGGAAGGGGAAATAAAGGCTGAGGGAGGGCTGTGCACAACGGGATGGCACCAGGAGCACAGCGGGACCCCGTGATGCTGCGCTCCATGGGGTGAATGAGCACAGCCCACTGGATCCAAAGTGCGAGCGGGGCATGGGAATGGGGTGGGAATGGGGTATGGGGTGGGTATAGTGTGGATATGATATGGATAGGGGTGGGCATGGGATGGGTATGGAGTGGGAATGGGTGGCTATGGGGTGATTATGGAGTGGGTATGGAGTGGGTATGATATGGGTATGGGTAGCTGTGGGGTGGGCATGGAGAGGATGTGGGATGGGTGTGGGGTGAGCACAGGTTGGGCATGGGGTGAGTATGGAGTGGGTATGGGTGGCTATGGAGTGGGTATGAGATAGGCGTGGGGTGAGTATGGAGTGATACGGGAGGATATGGGGTGGGCATGGGGTAGGCATGCTCTGCACCCAGCACAGGGGCTTTTTGCTTCTTCCTTCTCAGGTCAGGGCTCCTGGCACAAAGCAAAGGAGCAGAGCTGCACATCCCGTGGCCCAACGCTGCCAAGACCCACACAAAGTGCCCAGCCTTGGGGGAACACACGGGACATTAAGAAAGGATGTCTGAAGCCCAAATGTCTCACAGGGTGATGGGGACGCACTGGGATGCTGTAGGGTCAACCCATGGCCCTGTAGGCTGTCTCAGTCCCCGTTTGCAACACAGCTCACCTCTCTGCCTTGTTAGAGATGCTCAGTTTGCCCGTATTTGGGGTGTTCAGAGAGTGCCCTGCGCCTTGCCAAAGAGGAGAATCACAGACTCACGGCCACCAGACAGGGGATGTGAGACAGGAACCCTGCAGCCAAACACGAGGAGCCCCCAGGGGCTCCCTGGGCATTTTTGTGACCCAGATTGGCGTCGCCCCATGGCTGCTTGGGATGAGGCTCACGCAGCTCCTTTGCATTCCGCGCTCAGCAGCCGTGCAGCGCAGGGGCGAAGATCTTTGAAGGCTCTGCCCTTTCATTATTAATATTATGATGATGCCTGACGCCGCCTGTGTGCAGCGACGGCTCCCGATGGCACACATCCAAGCACAGCACTTGGCTCCTGGCAGCCAACCCCGGCCCCCAGCCCTGCTCAGCAATGGGGGAATCGCTGTGAGATGGGGATTTCTGCCCCTCCAGCCTTGATCCAATGGCTGGAAACCCGTGGGCTTTGTGCCTGCAGACACCCATCCCCTGTTCTACTGTTCTGCGGGTGCAGACCCCTGCCCCAGTCCCATCTCAGGGTGTCTTGCTGCCCTCAGGTCTGTCCCCATCTCCAAAGCATGGGGCCGACAGAGCCAGCTGTGATGCATGTAGCTCTTCTCGCTGCCTCCAATCGCAACACAGAAGACAGCATCCAAACACGATATCGAAATGCCATATTTCAGCACACAGCTCTAATCCCAAGTTGCTTTAGTCATTTTTTGCCCCAGGCCCAGCCCGGCACCCTCAAGCAATGAGGGCAGAGCCTGTTCAGGGCGGGCAGAGCCGCAGCTCCCAACAGGACCCACAGCCTCACATCAAACATTTCTCCAGTTTTTGCCCTCAGGCCATAGCCTGAAACATGAATCATGCCACGCTTGCGGGATCAATTTGCGTTGGGCTGCCAGGAGGAGCCCTTCCCCATCCCACCACGCTCCCAGCCCTGGGGTGCTCCCTGGGCACCCGATCCCATGTGGCACAGCCCTGGGCTCTGGGGCCGATGTCACCATGCCCTGCAAAAGCCACGCATGGGAGCGATGCTGCCAGCAGGGCTCAGTCATCTGGGGGTGCCCCCTCCTGTGTCTTCATGGTGGGTGACATGAGGCAACACAGCATGGTGTGAGTCAGCAATGAGCCCAAGCCATGTGTATGGGGAGGGCTCGCCTTGAGCATCGCTCATCGCCCCAAAGCATGCAGAGCCACCGATCCTGCACCCACATCCCCAGTGGGCACCCTATGGGGATGCACCCCGGGCACAGCAGGGCCGCATGGCATTGCTCCCTGAGTGTCTCCTCCCATCTCATGGCAGCACCCATGATGATGCTGAGGGTTATGTCAAGGTATGTTGGATTGCAAATTAAACTGCGCGGTCCTGGCTCCATCTGCGGAAAATGAGTTGCTGGACTTGGAGAGTGTCCAGTTGCTCAGCACGGCGTGCCTAACACCGAGGGCTGACAAGCCACTGAATCACTCCTCCCCGCGCTGCCAGGCCGCGTGAAGCCAAGATACATTTCTTTTTAATGATAAGTTTTTATTGTTTGGAGTTCAGCTCAAGCAGCCCCCTGATGCCTGGGGCCTCACGCTGCCAGAACGGCACAGACTGCCACGGGTGGAATGAGTTGGACGGTCTCATCCACTGGAAGGAGCTGGGCTGTTGGCCATCAGCATCACCCTGTATATCCACACGGCATCACCAGAGCCAAAGCTGGGAGGTGCACCTGGCCAGCAGACAGCCAACGTTTGGTACCATGCGCACACCGCAGAGCTCCGTTCCCCTGTACCCCTCCTGGAGGGTTCTCCAGTGGTTTCTTGGCAGATGAGGCTCCATCCTCCCCCCGCTGCTGAGCTCAGGATGCTCTCTGAACCTCTCAGCAGCTCCTGCCTGCAGGTCAGACATGCGGCGGATGAAAGATTTAAGGGAGGTGCCACAAAGGGACGGGAAAGAAAAACCACATCCCAGCTCGGAGCGGTGGCGGTAAATCAGGCAGGCGCTGCTCCTTTGGGCTGGAAACGGTGGGATTTGGGCAAAACGCCTCACTCGGTGGCAATGGTGGGCACCCCCACATGGGGGGGGTCCTGCTGGTGCCCCTCCAGGACAGCACTGTGGGTTTTACCACCCATCACTTTGGCTAACCCTTAGCACTAAGGCCTGGGCCGATGTTTCCAATGTTTTCCAGCTGGGGGGGCCGATCCCAGCGCCCCTCTGCCCTGCCCAGATCCCTCCAGCCACTAAGGGCAAACCCACCCGAGGGACACAGTGGTGCTGAGCCCCCTGAACACGAAGTGCTGCCCCCAGGATTGTGGCCGTGGAGATGGGGTGAACGGCCACGACATACCCCCAGAACAACCCCAAATCGCCTTACCTGCTGCAGCTCCTCCAGCTATGCCGGCACATCTGGATCTGGAGTGGATCCGGAGTGAAACCGGAGCAAAATCGGAGTGATTCCGGAATGAATCCAGAGCGGATGGAGCTGCCGAGGATGGGATGGAGAGGGAGGGGGTGTTATGTCAACGGGGGGAGCCGACGAGGATTTCGGGGGGAGTTTGGGGGCGACGCTCACCTCACCCTCTGCCCCCTGCCCGCGGTCGGAGGGGGGGGAGCGGGGCGGGCGGGGCTGGCGGGGAGGGAGGGAGGGCCCAGCCCCACGTCCGTGCCCGTGTCCTCCTCCTCCTCCTCCTCTCCCTCCTTTCCCTCCGCCGCCGCCGCCGCCCGTTCCTCCCTCCCGGCGAGGAGTGCGGGGCGCGGGGCGCGCCGGGGCGGGGGCTCGGGGACTTCGGGCCGAAGTTGGCGGCGCGATGGGGAACGAACGCTGGAAAACCATGGGAGGAGCCTCGCAACTTGAGGACGGGCAGCAGGAGAAACCGCAGGTACGGGCCGGGGGTCCCACGCTTGTCCCTCCCCCACCCCACGGTAACTTCCACCCGGGGGTGAGCGGCCCCCCCGGCACCGGCAGCATCCCTCGGGCGCCGCTCCGAGTCCCCGCCCGCTGCATCCCGCATCCCCCGGCTCCGTGTTGATTCCCGCATCCCCCTCCGGCGCAAGGGCTGAGCGCTGGGCTGGCAGCGGGTGAACACTCACACCCGGCTCGGATGGACTGCCGCACATTTTAACTGCTTAAATCACCTCTTAGAGGGGATTGCGAGTCCTGGCCGCGCGCTGCAGCCTCAGCCAGCTGCCTTCCTTATCTCCTCCGCTTCCCAACCTGCCACAGCCAAACGCCGGCTGGGTTTTGGGCAGAGGCCGGCGTCGCGCTGGGGCAGCGGTGCGCGTGTCGGAGGCTTTAGCAGGGCTGCTGCACGTGTGGCATCTCCTCCAGCCGGAGCCATTGGGGTGCGGGCGGCATCCGAACGTGGATCCGCGGCACGCAGGCGGCAGGTAGGGGAGCGTGGCTGGGACGTGGGGCTGCCTCGCACCTGGTGGGGGGAGGAGGACAGGCACGGAGCGCCTGTGAGAGACGTGGGAACGGTGGGAGAAGGCGAAGGAGCTGCTCCCGACCGAGCCTGCGAGCTGAGGGATAGAATCTCCCTGTTTTCAGCTCCGTCTCCCGGCTACCATCTGCACCCCGCTGCTGAGGACAGGGGCTCCCCAGCAGGAACGCGCTCATCCCCGTGTCCATCGTTTCGTTTTCCCTCTTCTCTTCGGTGAGGGAAGTGCATTCGGGGCTGGGCGTCGCAGCGCGGAGCTGCTTGTTCCTGCACGTCTTTGCAGAGGGAGCAGAGTTTGCTTCCAGCTCCCGGAGGCTCCAATGGAAGCCTGTCCCCGTGTGCGCTCTGCGCCGCGCCGCGCCGCGCTGTGCTGTGCTGTAGGAGCTCTGGGGAGAGCAGGCGGAGGGATGCAGCTCGGCTGTGCCGCGTCCGTGCCTGGGAACGAGCAGAGGAGCTGGGACGGGTAGGGTGCAGAGCTGGGCAGGAGAGCAGGTGGAGAGGAACTGGAACAGAGCTGCATCAGCCCAGCGGAGAAGGGGCAGAGCAGCTGGGATGCACAGTGAGCAAGCCGTGGGATGGACTGGCCCTTGCTGTCCTCTAGCTGGGCTCCTCTGGAGCCAGATGAACCCGGTAGGAGGGGAGGATGGCTGGGCTGCAAGGAGCGCAACCGGGGTCCTGCTTCATCCCTGGCTGGCACACAGCTCGTGGGGAGAGCCCTGGGGCTCCCCATCCCGTGGCATGGAGCCATCCCAGCGGCCCTGCCGGGTTACAAAGAGCCGTGCCTTTGGCTGGAATAAAGGACACCTCCTCCTTGCAGAGCATCCCCACGGCTCGGCGCAGCCTCTCCCACCACCATTCTCCATTCTTGGTTCCAACTCTGCTCCACCTGCCCGGGGACAAGCAGCCTTCCTCTCTCTGGCTCTGCTCTGGCTCTCCATACTGGAGTTGCTGCTTCTGCACCCACATGGCTGCTCATGTTCCTGGGGCCCAAAGAGGATGGGATGTGTGGTGGGGTGATGATGGCACCCCCAGTCCCAGGATGCACAGAGCCCGTGGGCAGCTCACACCACACAGCTCAGGTCCCCTGAGTGTAGGAACAGTGAGTAGGAGCAGCATCCTTGGTTCCAGCTCTGTCTCTGTGCTCTCTGTGCAAACAGAGATCTGGGCTTGGCCTCAGCAATAGGCAGCAGTTCTGCTCCCCAGCCTGGCACAGCTGCCAGCAGATGTCAGATCAGAGGCCACTAGAATTCCTGGCATCCTGCACCCAGTCAGGACTTGTGCTGGGTTTTGCATTGCTGCATCCCTCTCGGCCCCAGCACCATGAGCAAGTTTGCAGGAAAAGCTCTGCTCACTCCTTGGGAAGAAGCGATGTGGGGACATTGGCCTGCTGGCAAAGAGAACAGCAGGGTTTGTCAGCAGAGGGATGACCTATGGCTGCTCAAAAGCGAGAAAATCTGTGAGCTCAAGGCCGTGCAATGGGCAGAAGAAAGCCCCAGAGCTCCAAGGAACGCGGTGCTGGCAGGGCTCCATGCTGGATGCTGGGCACAGTTTTGCTGAGCAGGGGGCAATGAGAGACCCCAGAATGCTCCAGGTGCTGCCGGAGGAGTTTCCCTCCTCTCCCACCGCAGGTTGCCAGGTAACACAACCCGCCAGCACAGCGCTGGGGGACGGGGAAGGCTGTCACCACTCAGCATCTCACAGCTGCAGACAGGGGTGTGTGTTGGCAGAGGGGTCGTACCCTCACTCCTGCACCCAGCAATGGCAGGAAGGTGACAATGTTGGGGCTGGAAGGCTGGAAACCAGCAGCGTTCCCTGCTTGGATCTCAAATAACTCGACGTTTCCCCCTTCCCAGCAGCCGTCCTGTCCTTCTGCATCTGTGCTCGTGGGGTCCCAGCTGTCCCCATAGGGCTGCCAGTGATATGCGTCTCTGCTTCCTTCTGCCACTGCCCCATCCTGTGGGGAGGGCTGCCCTGGGGCTGAGCACCACGTGAACAAAGGCACAGCAGCCCTCGGGCTGTGCGGGGCAGCCGTTCCCCCCCCCACCTCCCCGGCTGCCGCAGCCGTGGTCACCTTAATGCAAATGGTTGCGGGAGCGTGAATGAAGGGTGCTTGAAGGAAGGTGTCACTCCAGATAGATGTGCACGGGAGAGGACAGGGCTTGGGAAATCTTTGCAGATGCAGCAATTTTCTCCTCATTCCCGAAGAAAGTAGTCTTTGTCTCTCCAAATAGGCGGCTTTCTGGCAGCGCTGCGATTCCCTGTGACAGCACCGGGGTCAGGGGAAAATCACCACCCATGTCCCGCAGGTGTGATGAGAGGGGGCCGGAGCTGATGGGCGGGCAGCAGCTCACACCCTCCGTGCTGATGGCTTTGCAAGAATGGCACTCACTGCACCCTGAGCAGCTCCTGCAGGCTGAGCCTGGGAGCAGTCGCTCCTCCATTGGGTCACATTGGGATAGGATCGTAGAGCAGGGAAAAGCCCCGCTGGGAGCAATCCCCATTGCTGCTCAGCGTGGCTCCAGCTTCCCCACGCTTCTGGGAACATCCCTCTCTCTCCCTTTGCTTTCCCTGCTGTCCACACTGCGGGGCACAGCACGGGGATTCTCCCTTTCCCTCCCTGCATTCTCACATTCCCAGGGCAGTGGGGAGCCCACCTGCATCTCCTGGGGCTGGTGCTGCTCTCCCTGAGCATTATGCCTTCAATAAAACATACAGATGGTCACATGCTGCTCTGCTCACCCTCTTATTATTATTTCACACCCGTGGCTCCCAGGCGGCTTCAGCAGCTTTGCTGGCTGAGCTCACCCATGCCCTGTTGGAACCACAGGTTTCCCTGCTGTCCCCATGCTCCGTCCTGCAGCACTACGCCAGGGTGCAGTGTGACCTCCCTCATTGCCAGAGCTAGAGCAGAGGAGCAAACCTAGCCCATGCAGAATGTTACCCCCAAAACCCCACATCTTGACCTCTCCAGAGTCCCCTGGGCACAAGGTTTATGTTCTGGCATAGTTTTTGGGTCTGCCCTACGTGAGGGCATGAAGACAAAGCCACCCTCCAGGCTCCACGCAGGGACTAAAGCACTTTGCTTTTGCGATGGGCATCTCTGCTTCCACTTCTCTTTGCTCCATCCTGTGGGCAGAAGTCCTTGGGGGGTGGGCTTCACTTCTCCATCCCATTGCCACGGCTGATCCCAGTCCCTGTGAGGGTCTGAACCCACCTCTTGGTGGAAAGGCTCTGGGATGGGTCTGTCTGGATGGGTCCTAATGGCCCCTCATGGCGATGGGTCCATCTGGATGGGTCCCGGTGGCACCTCGTGGTGATGAGTCCATGTAGACGGGTCCCAGTGGCACCTTGAATGGGTTCTGATGGCCCCTCATGGTGATGGGTCCCGACATCCCCTCTCTCTGTGTCCCCAGAGGATGAGCTGTGGCTACGTGCTGTGCACCGTCCTGCTCTCGGTGGCCGTCCTCTTGGCAGTGACAGTGACAGGGGCCATCCTCTTCATGAACCACTACCACACACCCGTCACCGAGCCCCCGCCAGTCATCAGCACCAACCCCGAGGAGGCCAACGCGTTGGTGACCATCGAGAAAGCCGACAGCTCCCGCATCAACATCTTCATAGATCCCAACTGCCCCGACCCGGCGGGCAGCGTCGGGCGCCTGGAGGGGCTGCAGGGCTCCCTGCTGCGCGCCCTCGCCGAGCACGATGCTGAGACCAAGGCCACCAAGGGCCAGCAGAAGGCCCTGCTGCTTGGTGTGGCCGACGAGGTGGCCAAGCTGGTGACGCACGCAGCGCAACTGCGAGCTGACTGCGATGGCCTCAAGAAGGGGCACAGTGCTATGGGGCAGGAGCTCAGCGCCCTGCAGAGCGAGCAGGGCAGGCTCATCCAGGTGGGTGTCCTCGTGTCCCCAAGGCATGGATCCTGTTCTTTATGCAGGGAAAAGCTGTGGTTGGGGGTTGGTGGGGTTTGGAGCTAGAACAAGTTCAGCTCCATGCCCAAGGGCTGGGGGGTAGCTGTTTGGGGTGTCTGTGCCCTACAACACACTGTGGGGGATGTCCCTTCCCTGCTCAACCTGGAACCCTGCTCACAAATAACTCCTCTGCCTCGTTCACCACCCCAAACCCAGCAAAACCTTACCAGGGTAAGCCGGGGAGGTTCTGTTGGGCATCACAGTGAGATCCAGAGCATGGCAGGATGCTGAGCTCCGCGCCGTCCCTTCTCCACTCCACTCCCAGCACCACTGCTCTGCTCCCGCCTGCCCTCACCTCACAGAGCTCTCCCAGCCGGGTCACCTCGGGGGAAGGCAGAGCCTCAGGACGCAGCTCCTCCCAAAGTCCCCATGTCCCGGCTGCTCCTTGTCCCCAGCTGCCCGCAGGCTGAGCTCAGGAGCTCTCTCTTCCAACGCAGTGATGCATTGGACATCATCTGGGAGCAGACCCGGGGGAAAAACATCACCCAAAATACCGTGTGGGCTTTGCCACGGTTCTGTGTCCCCACCTCGTATCCTGGCTGGGAAAATTGCTCCTACAGCTGTTTGAAAATTGTGGGAGCGGGCAGAGCATGCATGGGGATGGATTTGCCACCTCCTTGGAGACACGAGGGTCTGAAGTTCCGTTTAACCCCAACCCATCACCCCATCACATGTCCCCCTCCTGCAGCTCCTCTCAGAGAGCCAGACCAACATGGCCCGGCTGGTGAGCTCAGTCAGTGATGTGCTGGACACGCTGCAGAAGGAGCGTGGCGGCGTCCGGCCCCGGCTCAAGGCTGACCTGCAGCGAGCCCCAGCACGGGGAGCACGGCCTCGTGGCTGCTCCAATGGTGAGAGATGAAACCCCAGCCCTGGGGAGGGTGTGCCATGGGGAGGGATGAGCCATAGGGCATCTCCCAGCTCTCTACCTGCCAAAAGGGGAGGGAGAAGGCAGTTGGGATGGGGGAAGCAGCCTGCAAAGACAATGGATACGGTAGAGGGAGAAGAGGCAGGAGGGAGATGTGCCCACAAAATGGGTCTCTCGCCATGCAGCCCCCAGCCCCCCATCAAACGGCCCATGCAGCCACCACAAAATCCACATTACTTCTGCTTGCTCCCAGCATCCATGAAGGAGAAGCAAAGCCAGAAGTGACCCTTCTCCTCTATTTGGGTGCAAGCACTGCGGGCACACTGTGCAGCACTGGGAGCAGTCACATTCATCATTGCTGTGCTGAGATGGGGCTGAGTAAGCTGCCCTGGAGCCACCAGCACTGTGCCCATGGCCACCTCCAGCCATCAGCCCCCTGCTCTGCTGGGGTCCATCCTGCCCCGACCACCCAAAAAGGGACATGGGGACGGTCCCTGCGTCCCTCCCAGCACCACTCAACCCAATCCCTGGAGGGAAAGAAAGGGAAAGAGCAAAGCAGCGAGGTTGGGAGCCTGAAGAAATGGCAAGCCTTGAAATTAGATCATTAATTAACCAGCCTTCCTCTCATCCCACCCCATCCCTGTGTCATGCTGCAGGCTCCCGGCCCCGGGACTGCTTTGACATCTATGTGAGCGGACAGCAAGAGGATGGGATTTACTCCATCTTCCCCACACATTACCCCTCGGGCTTCCAGGTCTACTGCGACATGACGACCGACGGGGGCGGCTGGACGGTGAGCGATGTCCCCAGGCTGGGATATGGGGGCTGTGGGTGGGAGATGTCACTCGATGTGTCATGGGGATGGGGCTTGGCTGCAAGCAGGGACCTGGCGAGGGTTCAGCAAGCTGGAGCTTGGGGTTGGGCTGTTGGGTTGTGCCATGGTTGGAACTCGTATTTCATGGCAATGGGGACAAAGGGACCCCTACAGCACAGAGCCAGGTGCTGGTCTGGGGCCACCGACACCCCCTGGCCTCCATCACACCCAGCATCCCTCAGCCCAACATAGAGGGAACAACTGAGTGGTGACCATCTCTTTCCTCCCCTTTTTTTGTGGAAGCACAAAGAAAAGCTCCGTGCACTCACCCCCCTCCCCCCCCATAGCATCACCCACCCCAGCTCATTTGTGCACCACTAACGAAGGGGTGCCTGGGGGCACCTCTGCTGCTGTGCTGATTAACTCTCCCTGTCTGTTTCGCTTTGTGCCATGGCTGCGACAGCCCCGTAATCACAGTAATGCAGCAGAGGGCGACAGGGGGACGCAGCCACTCCCCACGTTCCATTGAGTGCCCCCAGCCTGGGGGATGTTGAGCACCAAGCAGAGACCCCAGGGTGGTGAATAGGGGTGACAGGCGGCCTCTCCATGAGGACATGGCCCAGAACCCCTCCAGCTGGGCGCTCTAGGAAATAAATCCCCACGATCTGCTTCCCTTAAGCAGCTTTGAGCAGTGCCAGGAGGCAGCTTAGCCCCCCTTCCCCTCCCCCCCATTGCCTTCCAGGGGCTGATGAGCCTTCAGGCTCGCTCTACCCAGAGCCCACCCAAGCAGACCTGAACATTGGGTTCACACTGGGGAAACCGAGGCACAGCACAGCAACCCCACATCCTGGGGGTCAGAGAAGACAAAGAGGGGACACTACAGTTCCCAGGGTGTAGAGGGTCCTTGCAAATCCCATGCACTGCCTCCCCCAGCCACACACTCAGGAGCTGCCTGAAGAGCAGCCCAAGGTGATTAGCCAGACACTCAGAGGTTTATTTAAAGCTGCTGCAGCTGGGAAGGCTCCAGCAGGGCCAGAAGGGTGCAAAGGGAGCAAATGCACACCGTGAGCTCCAGGCCTTGATGGGGGTCAAAGGACCAAAGCCTATGTTGCATCCCAGCATTATGGGTCAGAGCAATAGGCACTCTGCCACCCCCTGCCCCATGGCACGGCCCAACCCGGCTCCCAGACATCCCCATGGGCTGTGGGGTGGGGGGCTCACCCATCCGTGGTGCTGGTGCACATCGGGGCCCACGGGCTCCAGGTAAAGATGCTGTGGTACAGAGCCTGGGAAATTTCCCTCCCCTCCTCCTCTGGAGCCGTACTTCTGACATTTGGGCTTATTTGCATGTGGGGAGGTGGGTGGAAGCAGCTGAATCCATTTGGGCTCGGGAGCTGCTGAGCTAAGCCTTCAGCTGCAAGAGCTGTGGCAGGAGATGGGGTCCATTCCCAGCTGCAGGGCCACCCATCCCCAGCCAGCTCTCTGCTCCCAGCACACGGGAACATCTGCATCGCCTCTGCGCTGCCGTTAATTGCAGCTCACCCGGGGCTGACCGCCTCGTAGCACGGGGCAGCGCGCTGATATTCCTTCCCTCCCCCCACTCCCCGACCCTCCGCTCCTGGCGCTTTATTAAAGCAATAACGGTGTGACGGAGGGCGGCAGCACGGCCTTCCCATCGCCTGAGGACGCTGCTTCGTGTGCCGGGCTCTTTGCAAACTCTCTGCGCTGTTTCATCACTGCCAGGCTGCGCCTCAGCATCTCCGCCCCGCGAGGAGCGGTGCGCTGGGGACGCTGACCCCAAAGGAAGGTGGCACTCCTCCTTTTTTTTCTTCATTTTGTCCACTTTCCCGGTTCTGTGCCTTCCCAGTGCCTCCTGCCCCGCTCTGCTGAGCAGCCAGGCAGCGAGCCGGGGCGATGAATATTTCAGCCTAAGCTTTAAAGCGGGGAAGGAAATCCTTTTTGCTTAAGAGGGGGCGATGCATATTTCATGAGGAGGGAAGGAACGGGCAGCCCGTGCTGTGAGCACAGCCGGCCCCGCTTCCCAGCTCCCCTCACCTGCAGCCCTGGCCCCACTTCCCCTCGTGCGTCCCTCTGCGGACCCTCAGAGCCCGCTCACCAAAACCCATCGCTTCCCTTCCCCGTCCCCAGTGTGAAGCACGAGGAGGGACCGCACACAAACTCGGGGTGCAGCTTTCCCAGCTCAGGGTGCGGGGTTCTGTGGGACTCCTGCAGCCAAACGTGGGGACCGTGGGGCACGCGGGGTCCCTGCGGCGCCGATCCCAGCCCAAAGCTGCCGACAGCTCGGTAATCGCCGCGCCGCGCCGGGGCTCGGCTAATGAAGATGTGTCCCGTGCGCTTTCCCGAGCAATTGGCCTATTTACAACCTCGAGTCAAAGCCGATTAAATGAGAGAGCCTCAGCATCACCGCTGCTGCCTTCCCTGCGCGGCACGGCGTGGGGAGATCAGCTCGGGGCTCCCAGCCAGCCCCGCCGCCCCCTCACCCACCGAAAGCCCCTTTAAATGGGCTTAGCAGCAGCTTCTCAAGCGCTCAGTGCAGGGATTAAAATTAAGGCTCTAATTCTAGAAGGTAAGTACAGCAGGATCGGCGCTGGACCCGCGCCCGGCCCCATCACACCCGGCCCCAAAGCAGCCGGGCGCTGGGTGTCCCACGGGTGGGCAATGGGAAAAAAAACACATATGGGTGCTTCCAAGGTCAGGGGCAGCTCGGGGAGGTGGCCCAGCACACAGCGCTGCCTCCCTGCCGGCTCTGAGCATCGCAGCCGTAGGAGCGCAGCGCTCCGGGGCCATCTCGCCGGCTCCGTTCTCCTCCAGGCAGGTTGGAGCGGCCAAGTTTAATGCAATTAATCCAGGGCTGCAAGCTTAATTACGTTCGAATGGTCAGGCGGGGAGCAGCGTTTTCTGGATCGTTGTCAATAAATCAAACTCCAAACTAAAGATAAAAGAGGACAAAACATACAGGGCGTGAGATGCTGATGAACAGAGCGAGGAGAAAGGGGAGGAGAGAACAGCTGGGTTGAGCCCGGAGCTGCCCTGCCTTCCTCTGTGTCTTCCCAGGTGTTCCAGCGACGGGAGGACGGCTCTGTGAACTTCTTCCGCGGTTGGGAAGCCTACCGGGACGGCTTTGGGAAGCTGACAGGAGAGCACTGGTTAGGTGCGTGGGGTGTCCTTTGCAAACAAGTGAACCAATGCACTCCAATGGTCAAACCAAGGCACCCTGATGGCCAAGCCAATGCACACAGTGACCAAAGCAGTGCACCCAATGGCTGAGCCAAGGCACCCAATGGCTGAGCCAAGGCACCCGGTGGTTGAGCCAGCACACCCAAATAGCCAAAGCAATGCACCCAATGGCCAGAACAGTGCACCCAGTGACTGAACCAATGCACCCCAATGGCTGAGCCAGTACCCGTGTCTTGCATGCCGTGGTCAGGCAGCCACAGGGAGTTCAGGGCAACTGCAAGGGTCATCGGTAGGCAGGCGAGCGGTGCTGCCCTTTGCCCATGGGCTGCACACGTGTCCTTGGCCAGGGCAGCGAGGGCTGGAAGTGGGGATCGGTGCATCCCAGGGACCCCCCTGTGCCCTACTCACCCCACTCCATGTAGGGCTGAAGCGGATCCACGTGCTGACGGTGCAGGGCAGCTACGAGCTGCGCGTTGACCTGGAGGACTTCGACAACGGCACCGCCTTCGCACACTACGGCAGCTTTGGTGTGGGGCTCTTCTCTGTTGACCCCGAGGAGGACGGGTACCCCATCTCCATCGCCGACTACTCGGGGACAGCAGGTAGGGCCCCTCAGGGGACCAAATCCCATCCCCGGAGCATCCACTGAGAGCTGGAAGCTGGAGGGTGGCTGTGGTTGAGTAGTGATGAGCCCAAGTGCTCTATAAGGCACCAAGAAGCTCCATCGAGGTGCACGGAGCTTTGGAAGCCACCCCGAGGGCAGGGATAGGGGTGGGGAGGGCCCTTCACGGCTCCTTTACCTGCGGCAGGAGATTCCTTCCTGAAGCACAACGGGATGAAGTTCACCACCAAGGACCTGGATAACGACCACTCAGAGAACAACTGCGCGGCGTTCTACCACGGCGCCTGGTGGTACCGTAACTGCCATACCTCCAACCTCAACGGGCAGTACCTCAAGGGCCACCACAGCTCCTACGCCGATGGCATCGAGTGGTCCTCCTGGACTGGCTGGCAGTACTCCCTCAAGTTCACTGAGATGAAGATCCGGCCCGTCCGGGAGGAGAATTAGCGGATGGACCGAGCCCCTCCCTGATCCCTGCCCTTCCCACTGCCCCATGGTTCCTCTCTTCCTGATGCACCCCATGCCACCATCCTGCCCTGGGGTCCTGTGGGAGCATCTCTCCGCCGGGGACGATGGCTTTGTCCTGACCCCATGCCCTCTGCTCCCCACTGGGATGGGCCTCCTCTCCCTGGGCCACACCGGATGCTCATGGTGCAGTGGGGACTTGGGGAGCAGTGCACAAGGAGGGGAGGGGATGGAGGGGCTGGAGACCATTTCTGGGGCGCAGAGCCCCCACGGTGCTACTGAGGACAGGGAGGGCTCTGCTGGGTTGGTGCTCACACGAGTGCCAGTGGTTCCTTCTCTGCAAACATTCTCCTCTCTGTCTTCCGAGAGGGGAAGGGACACCTACAGACCTCACTGCCCCTGCTCGTGGAGCTGCACAGCACATGGGCACAGCGCTGCAGGGATGGATGCCCACAGCCAAGCATGGCACAAAGCTGTGCGGTGGCATCAGCAAAGCAGAGAGCGGGAGGAAAAGGAGGAAGCAGGGAAAGCACAACCCCCAGTACAGCTCTGCCTTCCCTGCACAGCTCCTGCCCCGGATGCACGATGGGTTTTCACCATCCAGAAGCTGTGACCTTGCCCTCTGTTTCAGCAGCACCCCCACAGGGCCCCCCGCCCGGCAACCCGCATTCATTTCCATCCCCGATGAGCCACGCTCCAGCTCTGGCTCTGCACCTGCAGATATTCAAAGCCTTTCGTTTCTTCAAATCCCATTAAGGTTTTGCAAAAAGCAGCCCTGAGTGGGGCTTAGCATCTGCAGGGCGCTGATAACGGGGCTGCATCCTCAGCCCACCAGGCACTGTGCTGCTGAGGGGTGCAGCAGCCCCGGCCCCATAGGAATGGGAAAGGCTCCTACAAGGACTTCAATGGGTGCTTTTGTCCAAAAACAACACCAATAAAGCTGGTGTGAGGGGAGGGGAAGCCGGGACCCCCTGCACCTTTGCATCATTTCCCACAGCACTGAGGATACAGCCCCACAACAGACCCCAACCCCATGGAGAACTATTGGAGCACCCTGAGGAGGGGAGGACAGACCCAGAGCTGTGCTGCGCGGAGACCCAAAGCACAGTGAGATCAAAGGTTCATTCCTGCAGCCGCAGCTCTGCACTTCTCGACGTGCTCCTTTTTTTAAGCCTTCCCCTGCTCTCATTCCACACTGGATGAGCGCTTCCATCTGGGCGATTCTCCATCCCTCTGCCCCACGGGGACCGGAGACACACGATGCGCTGGGACCACCCTGAGCCAGAGACACTGCACTGCTCACATCCAACCAAATCCACTGGGGGGGCCCAACACCCCACAGAGGGCAGCAGCCCCCCAACTGCACCCCAAGGGTCTGCAGGGCCGTGCCCACCTTTGCTGTTAGCTCATTGATTTCGGTGGGTTCATACAGCTGGTTCATATAGCATTTGCCTTCGGGAGGAACGACCCAGAGCCCATGTGTGGGGTCCTTGTGGTCCTGAGCTCTGAATGGACAGGAATGGGGTGTTGTAGTGTGTTGGTAGCACTTCCCTGTGTCCTGCCCCTCCCACCCAGGACTCCCAAACGAGTTCGTTTCGCGTTGCACGAGAGGTATTCCATACAGCCCGAGATGACGGGTTTTCCAGGATGAGTGCTGGGAGTGCACATGGCACTCAGTAACCCCAGGCTGGGATGAACCCACTCCCAGTGCCACCTCGCCAGGGTGGCCATGGGGACATCAGGAGACGGCACAGCTGCAGTGTGGTGCTGGGGACTGGAGGGGAGGCGTACGGCTCCAGGCCTGGAGCACGGCCATGTCCCTCCCCGCGGCCGTCGCGTCGTGTTGCTGTGCCGTGAGGTCTCCATTGTGTGTGAGTGGTGTCCAGCGCTGTCCATGTGGACTTTCTGAACTCCTTAATAAAAGGAACTCATCGTTACTGGTGTGCTCTCCTCTCTGGTCACAGCACAGGGACACCACCAGAAGGACAGCGGGAGCTGGCAGCCCTGTAGGAACCCCATCGGGAACCCAAAGCCAGGAGAAAGCCACAATGTGCCAATGGGCACAGCGCTGAGTGGGGTCCCAGCTCCTTTCAACCACTGCTCAGCCCCATCCCAAGATGTGGGGGGGGACAGCCAAGTGCCTGGCGCTGGAGACCAGCTGGGCTGTGAGCATTGGCCAGGCAGGGTGGGAACAATTGGGCTTCTCTGTGTGGGGATGGGTCCTGAGTGGGTGTAGGAGTGCAGGAGCACCTGCAGGCTCTGCACACCCATCTGGACCTGCAACGACAGGCTCACATCGCGCTGCAGTTGGAAGTGCTCGTGTCCCCAACCGGCGTCACTGCCGCTGGCTCCAAGCCAAGAGCACCGGCTCCTGCTCAGCCTCTCCTCCAAACGAAGCCACAAATGAAGGTGGCTCATTAACCCTGTTGTAGTGGCTTGTCCAGCCCCATCCCCTCTGTCCCCCCACCTCCCTGCAGCAGCCCAGCCTCCGGCAGAAGGCAATTAGCACCCGCAGGTATTTAATGGCCAGCTCAGCCCGGATGCAGGCAGGGCAGCGCAGAGCTGGGCATCGCCCAAGGCAGAGAGGTGAGTGATGGGGACAGCAGAGACATCCCTGGGCTGCAGGAGAGGGAACACCCCAGGATGGGATGGGGTTGGAGCAGGGCAAGGCGCTCCCTGTGTTTGGCTTTGTGCTTGGAGTGCCCATGTCAGGGGCAAGGTGGGATGGAGGCATGGAAAGCAAAGCCCATAGCAGGAGGGGAGCTGGGACCCACAGTGCTTTGGGCTCAGAGGGGTCTGCAGGAGAGCAGAGCACCCAGATGGGGGCAGGTACCCCATCCCCCAACACCAGCAGCGATTTTTAAGGCAGCATCTCCTGAAAAAAAAAAAAAAAAAAAAAAGAAAAATAATAATAAATTAAAACTCCATTCTCCCTCTCTGAAGCTGCCCAAGGTCACCCAGGCACCGCTCAGCCCCATAAAGCAGAGCGATGGCTGCGAGCTCCTTCCCCTGCACGCATTAACGGGGCGCTGCGGGTGGCACCTGAGCGCTCAGAGCTGAGCACTGCTCAGGTGAACGCACTTAAGCCCTCCCTGCAGTGCTGCTAAGAGGAGCACGCGGCTGCAGCTCCCATCAGCTGCTCCCATCAGCCTGCCCCGCTAACAGCCCCGCGCAGCCAACCCGAACCGTGCCAGGCCTGGCAGCAGACCAGAGCAGGGACTGCAGGCTTGTAGAGAGGAAGAGAGAGGTCAGGAGGAGAAAAGATGCAGGGAGAGCAGCTCAGAGTTTGTAGGGGTGCCGGAAGGGTTTTCTGGCTTCTTTAAGGGTGCTGCAGCACATACATGGGTATCTGCCCCATAGCAATACTGGTACAGAGAGGGGATGCTCCACGTGAGGAAGCCCTTGATGCCCCCAAGGATGCTGAGCGCTTTGCCATCTCTCTCCCTCCCTGTGTCCCCCCAGATGAGAGCATCCTACTCGCTGTCCTGCTTCATCCTGCTCAGCCTGGGGGCCTGCTGCCCACCCCACGAGCCCCGACACCCCGAGGATGTGCTGGAGCCACGCTGGCGAGGAGCGGTGGCTGAGGCCGCGGGTCCCTGTGGGTGGGCAGCCCCGACGCGGCGGCGAAGCGAGGAGCTGGGCACGCTGCTGGGCATCGCCCGGGTGCTGCGGGGCTACGGGCAGCAGCACGGCGGGGGCCCACGGGGACGGCAGGAGGGCTCAGAGAAGCGCGGCGGTGGCGGCACGCTGGGGGACCTGGCTGAGGAACTCAATGGCTACAGCAGGAAGAAAGGTGGCTTCGCCTTCCGTTTCGGGAGGTGAGGGCTGCGGGGTGAGCTGCATCCCCACCGTTCCTGATGCCTCGCCGTGGAGCAAAGGAAGCTGCGGGGTGGCTGCCGGGGTGACCTGGGGAGGGGAGGCACCGCGTTTGCTTTGCACTCAGCCCTGCCCCACATCTCCCAGCCTCAGAGATGGAAGAAGAGGAGGGAGCCCTGCATCCCTTCCTTGGGGACACGGCGTGTTGGCCAGGTCCCGGAGCCGTGCGTGCCATGCTGGGACTGCTGTTATAGATAGAGGGAGGTGCAGTGCAGGGGGTGATGCTGCAGTGACAGTCCCCGTGGGGACAGCCCAACCACAGCCGTGGGTGTGGAGCAGCGCTCTGCGCTCTCCTTCCTATTAATGAGAAGCCCCTCCGGCAGCAAATTCTGCTTAGTGTCACACTGCCACTTGCATGAGTGAGCTCCTACGTGCCAATCCAGACACGGCAGCGGGGCTGGAGAACATCTTACCCCTAAGACACCCACATGCGAGCACGCAAACCTGCCCCGCACCGACCCGATGCAGCCATCCCCAGCGGGCGGCACAGCACTGACTGACCTCCAGCATCCCTGTTCCCTCCTGCCCTCACCCACATTCTCCCATCCAGCCCAGCAACGCAGGAACACCTGGTGCAGAGAGGCTGGAAGAGCCCCGGCTGCCACAACCCTGTGCTCTGGTTCCCCAAAGGCAGTTTGGAGAAGAGCCCCCCAGCAGCCCCAGCCGTTCTGCCTTCTCCTTCAGGCAGATTTAGCACTGCCAATGCCAACACTGCCCTGTGCTCCTGCTAAGGCCGAGCTGTCGCAATCCCAGCTCCAGCTGCCTCGCTCAGGAAACTCAGCACCAAACGATGCTCCTGTTTCAGTGCAGGCGCAGAAGTGCGGCAGGGCAATTATTTGCAAGCGCTGAGTTGCACCCTCAAAACCAAAGGCTGCGTCAGGACTCGGGTGGGGAAAAAATAAAAAATATATATTAAAGAAATCTGCCTCCAAGAGGTGCATTGAAACATCCATCAAGCAGACAGAGCACTCGGCGCAGCAGGGCTGGAGGGGCTGCAGGCAGGGGGACAGGGGTCCATGGGTCAGGGGTGTGGGAGGGCGGATGGACAGACAGACAGATGGACAGACAGAGCAGGGAGCGTGGGTGTGGGAGGGGTAGGATTTGGGGTTTGCAGGGATGCAGGTGGTGCTGAGTTTGGCATGGAGGGGGGGGGGCTGAGCGTGGTCCCCCAAATCTGAGCTCTCCTCTGCTCCCCAGGAGCCCCCCAGCAGCACAGGGCTGTGGGCACACTGCTTTCCCCCAGTGCTGGGGATGGGAGGCTCTATCGATGTTTCTATGGCAACATTTCTTTCGTCCTCCTTTTTTTCCAAGTGTTCATAACATCAATAAATATGCAGTGATCAATTTTACCCTGTGCTGGAATGGGAGGGAGGGGAGGAGGAGAGGAAGGGGACTGTTTGGGAGCGGGCTCATCATCCCAAAGAGGAACGGGGTCAGAACAGCATGACAAAGCCACGTGCCCAGTGAGGCTCTGACTGAGGCACAACCTTTCTCTATGCTGTTTCAAAGCCAAAGCCAACGCTTGCTGCAGTGCTCACCTGGGGCAGAGCTGCACAAGCGCCCACAGTCGTCCTCTGAGATGGCCCTGTGCTCTGGGCAGTGGGTGGTGGGGAAGGGGCTGCACCAAGGGACACCAGGAAGCCACCACCAGGATCCCATCACCTGGGTTTGTCCTCATCCCTCTGCGCTGCCGGCACACAGCAGGCACAGCAAAGCTCCCAGACACGAGTGGGTGCTTGGCTCGGATTGAAGAACGGCCAAAGGACTCCTAACAAGGGGCTACAGCATCCCTGCATCACCGAGCACAGATGGGACCTTCAGCAGAGGTGGAAGGATCAGTGCACATCCAAGGGCCAGGCAGGGAGCTGCACCCATCAGTGTGAGCAGTGCTTCACACATCTCCAGCACCAACCCAGCTGGGGAAAGAGTTGCACACAAAACACTGACCACGTTTTCCATCTTATGACAAGCAACTACTCAAAAAACAAGGCAGGATGACATTAAAGGGAAACTTAAAAGAGTGAACGTTGTAATTTCGAAGGCACAAAAAGCAAAACAAAAACACAAACACAGCTATTTTTCCCCTAGAGCACTCTCACTTTCAAGCTCAATAGCCTTGAAAATTGGAGCAATCAAACTGTTAAATGCATCGATCTGTTAAATCAACTCCTACTGTACTCGGCTAAATTTAGCCTTTAATCCCTCTTTCACTCCCAACTCCAGATCCCAGGGCTTTCCCCAGCTGGGTCAACTGACCTCTGCCTTCCCACGCCAGCAGCCCAACCCAGCAAACAGGGACGGACATCCCCAGGAAGGACCCTATGCAGGGGCAGGCGGAGCTTCTCCATCTCAGCCTACAGGCTCTCAGCATCCTCAAGCCTGGATCCAGCCCCACACAACCCCAGCCAGGGCTCCTGCTGAGCTCCCATACCCCGTGCTGGGGCTCACCTGCCCTCTCTTCCTTCCCTTCCTGCTTTGCCCTCTGGCATCTCGGGCTGATGGTTGGACTGGATGATCTTGGTGGTCTTTCCAGCCATAGCGATTCTATTATCTTCATTTATTAAGGCACAGCATCTCCTTTCAGACACTGCTTGGCACTCAATACCAAACTCAGTGCCACCCCCCCTGCCCAAAGGTGCCCTTCAGCAGAGGCAGCTGGCACTGAAAACACTTGTTAACAGGCAAACACGGGCTTTCCTCAACATTGATTTATTTTTAAATACACTACGCAAGAGAGGCCGGAATAAAAAATGAATCAAAAAAAAAAAAAAAAGAAGGTAGAGAAAGAGAGGAGGCAGAATTGAAAGTCATGTACAGAAACAATCTGTACTGGACCAAATTAAAGAGGAAACAACCCCCTTAAGTATCGCAGAGATGAAGGACAGAGCTATTTACACACTGTAAAAAAGACAAGTCTACAAAAGTAGTGTAATAACGAGATACAAATGTATAATATAGTGGCACAATATGTTATCAAAGTAAAAACAGTACCTCCAGGAAAGAGACAGTCCAAGGTGTTTTGTTTTCTCTTACATTTTTAAAGGCAGCCTGTGGCAGAAGTGTGTATTTTCTTTTAAACATTTGTCATGGGTTAAGTCAGGGCTGTTTGTGAGGGCGAGGAACGGCGTGAACACACAGAGTGAACTACTGGAAGTCATATACAAAACGTCAGTTCCAAAGAGAACAGCATAAAATACAGTTGAAGGCAATCAGTGTTTAAGATACACAAGAGGGGCCACAAAAGTTACGGGGAACAGGACACAGAAAATATGTTTTTTTTTTTCTTGTTTGGAACCGTTAAGAAGTTAAATTGCACTGTTAATAGCCCTAAACCTTGCTTTTTCACTACAGTCACAGGTCACAGTTAGTCCCCAGCTGTGTCGCATCAGCTGGGAAGGTTACAGGACCGTGGGCAGGAAGCCCAGCAGCCTTGCTGTCGTCATTTTGGGGCAGTTTCCTTGGGAGATCTGCCCAAAGAGAGGTGGCTGCAGTCTTCACAGAGCCTCACACGACGGGTGCAGCCACACAGCCATGAAGGCGATGACGGTTCCAACCCCAAGAACCGGCGTCCGAGCTCTCCACAGGGAGCTGGCACTGGCATGGCAAGGGAAGGGCACCAGTCTCAAGAGGAGCACAGGAGCCAGGCCCACAGAACAGAAAAGGCTGCAAACACAAGTAGAGAAACAGCAGTTCTTGCCCGTCGGCGATGCGCAAGCTCAACTGAAGCAACTGCTGCAGGCACAGTGGTATCTTTGAACTCGGCCCAAGCTATCCCCTCCTGTCACCCATAGAGCAGTGCTGTGCTCAGCACCGCCTGCTGCTCCCACACCTCCTCTGCCACCCCCTGCCCCGAGCAGCAGCCTGAATAACGCCAGCAGCGTCCTTCTTCAGCCCTCTGCCAGTCCTCTAGTGCTACCGGGGGAGATCTGCAAATGCTGCTGCATCAGTGGGTGCTGCCTGCGACAGTTTGAACCCAGGCAGCTCAACTGGGCTCAGCAGCATCAAGGAACAGCTGAAAACACAGATACAAAGGGCAGCAGGTGGAATCATAGGAAGAATGTGAGTAAACATCACTTGTAGCATTCTATCGTTCTTTAAAGTTACATTAACAACTTCCCACCCCCCCTCCTCTCTCAGGCTCCAAATCTGTCGCATGAATGCCAGGCTAAATGTCAGACTCGGGCCAGGGATGCATGCTGCAGCTCTCCCAAGAAATGCAATAGGTATATTGCTATTCAGACACTCAGCCTTGTGTACAGCGGGGCGGAGGGGCAGAACGCAGTAGGAAGTCCTCCTGAGGAGGATGGCATCTCAGCGTCCATCAGTCTGGCTTCAGTCTTAACGTTTTGTCCAGAACAATAAAATATTAATAAAAAGGCATGATGTGACATCAGCACTTAGACTCGTAGTCCACAAGGCAGGAACTCCACAGATAAGACGATTACAAGTATATGAAACACAGGGAATCTGGGCTAAGAGGGTGAAAGTGCCTCTTGAGCACAGCCCTGCTCTTTGGAGCCGGGGCGTCCATCAACAGTCTGCGCCTTCCGCACAGCCCAGACCCAAACGCCCCAGTCCTCGGTCAGTCCACACATGCTGTTACTCTCTCCACAGTTGACTTTGGCCCACTGTGATGTATTATTTTTTTTCCAACCTGGCTTCTGCTACCTCTGAACAATGTCGCTGATCTCTTTCACAGAACTGAGCAGTTTGCTAAAGTCCTGCGTGGCCGCAGAGCCGCTGCCAGCCGTCGCTGGGCAGATCTGAAGCTCTCGCAGGTTGTTCTCCAGCTTATTGATGGCCTCCCGAAAGGCAAATTTGTTCCTCATCTGCTGTATGGAGTCCACGTAGCTCACGCAGAAGGTGTAGAGGTTCTTGCCAGCCTCCAAGACAGTGCTGTGGCTGGCCATTTGTTCAGAGTTCTTGCTAATGGCGAGCCGTAGAGC